TAATTAATATAATATTTTTTTATCCAAGTTATCTAATCGGATATTTTAAGATATATTAATATAATATTTTATTTCATTAATTATACGATTATTCTTACAGATACAATTACTAAAATATTAATTATTTTAGAAAATTTTTAAAAATAAATTTGAATTATCATACTTTTACTTTATATGAATTCAAAATTACATATTTTAATATATTAACAAACGTTTATTATTTATTTTTCTATGTGATATAACTTAAATTCGGTATTAAATTTTTAAATTCAAATATTTAAAGAAAAATATCTTAAACAGATTTTTTGGGTAAATTTCATTTGATTTTAATTTTCATATAATCACATTCCTAACAAATTAATTAATATTATATTTTTATCTACAATACCTAACCAATTTTTTTATGATATAAATAATATAATATCTTAACTAATTAATTATTTATCTAACCAGATTTATCTCTCTCACAAACTTGCCTTTTTTTAAAAAAAATAAAATAGTATGATTATTCTTACGGAGATACTTACCAATATATTAATATTTTTCTTTAAAAAAAAAGAGTTATCCCTCCTTTTACTTTATTTGAAATACCAAGTTATAGTTTTAAATATATTATTATTTATTTTTTTACGTGTAAATATTTATTATTTATTATCTAAGTAATAAATATTATTGATTTATCTCTTTAATAGATGTTTATTATTTATTTTTTTCCTTATGTGATATAATCTAAATTCGGTTATTAGATTTTTAAATTCAAACATTTAAAAGAAAATATTACAAGCAGATTTTTTTGTTCAATTTTATTTTATATTGATTTTAATATAATCACATTCCTAACAAACTAATTAATATTATATTTTTTAAATTTTTAAATATTTCATAAGGATTATTATTTATTTTTTTCCTTATGTGATATAATCTAAATTTGGTTATTAGATTTTTAAATTCAAACATTTAAAGAAAAAGACCACGAACAGATTTTTTCGTTAAAATTTGGTTATTAGATTTTTAAATTCAAACATTTAAAGGAAAAGACCACGAGCAGATTTTTTCGTTACATTTCATTTTATCTTAACTTTCATATAATCACATTCCTAACAAATTAATTAGTATAATATTTTTTATCCACATTCATATAATCTGGTTTCTTAAAATATAATTAATATAATATTTTAATTTGTATAACTTGATTTATCTCATTAACAAACTTGCCAAATTTTTTTAAATTAAAAAAAAAAAAATTGGATGATTTTGATTTGTAAAAAAATAAAAAATAATTTTACTTTAAAGTCTGGATTCTTTCCATTATTTTTTGTACATTAACAATCATATATTGGATAATTGATTTAAAAAAAAAAAATCTAAAGTGTAAGGTTTAATAATATTCCCTAAATAAAAAATATTTTATAAAGAGTAGTGGTTAATAATATGTATATTTCATTATTTGTATTTATTTTATTTCCATAATAGATGAGATGTAAAAAATATAAAGACTTATATTTAAAATAAAATCTAAAAAATATTTAGAATATGAGCTCCTCCGTTGGGTATTCACTAGTTTATATGTATTGAAACAGTGAAACACAAACATTTGTTATGTGTGAAATATGAATGTGGGTTGAAGATCGTAAAAAGTCGATTAATTTGGTTTTTACTACATATGAATAGTTAGTAACAAAAAATTATTAAATTTTTAAATATATTTATATGTTAATTTGACCACGTGTTGTATAATTTTGAAAATATATCCATTGACTGTAAAGAGCTCATAAACAAATATATACCATGAATTGACAAGTAACTAGATAACAAATGAAGCATGATTTTTAGTAAAGTATATTGATTTTTCGGTTGATATAAGTCCCAAGAGAGTGTGCAAATTGTATACATATATTGTTCAATTTCAATCGAGTTTTTCATATTGGCAAAAAAATAAAAGTAAAAATGAAAGTGTATATGTGCAAATTGTATACAAATTATTTGATTTTGATCAACTTTTACATACTTCAAAAAAAAATATAATCACCAAATAAATTTTAAATAAATATGTTATGCCGGAGTTATTTACAAACTAAGTTCTCGAACAACTAACCAAAACTCTAAATTTATAAACTATTTTAAATATTAATAGACCCTTTACAAATAGAATCGAATTTCATGCGAAAAATAACAATAAAATAAAAAAGAAAAAAGTCGAGGTCCGATTTGAAGATGGTTCCGAGAGGCCTCCGAGAGCGCTTTGCTCTGTCAAGCCAAGCATCAGGGGGCTTATCGACTTCGATGACTTCAAAGAGCCACCCCCTACAACTGCCCACTGGCACACCACACAACCACCTTTCAATCTCCCGTCACCTTGATGCCCCTGCATGGGTCACAGGTCCCCGCAACTGGACCGGGCGAACATCGTGCTCGGGCAGCTGCTTTATAAACAATAATGTTTACTGTTCTTTTCTCGATGTGGGGCTTT